GAAATCTGGCGTAAGTATAAGTGAACTACACCTGATGAATTAAAGTATTGTAATTACTATTTATAAAAAAAATAGTTCCTAATTCAAAAATTTGGATGGCGATATATGCATTAATAAGAATCATATAGTATACCAATGCCGCTTTTATAGTCGATACCGGTTCCGATATCGGAACGCCGATATTGCTGGTATTCTGATACTGATATTCCGGTAATATTTAATTATCATCTGGATTGAAAAAGTGGGGAACGTGGAACACGACATTTTTGAAACACCCTGAAAATATGATGTTGAAATCGTTTCCTCTTCACTTCTCGTGCGATTAAATCGCGAAAAGACGTATTTCAAATTTATATTCTTCAATAAATAAGTTCTGAATGTTTTTTTCATCATTAGTTCTTTCGCAGTCCGAGTAAATTTGCAAATATGGAGTCAGAACAATGCAACGAATTTTTTTAGGAATTATGAGATTCTTATCGCGGGACTGGGATGCATTGGATTTAGATGAAAATTGAGATTATAGTCATCTGCCAACTCCTATGTTGAAACTGGGAATCATTTAATCCAAACTGAAAATCAGTATAATGTAACGGAAATACATCGAGTCAGGCACGCCTCAAATGACTGCGACATCTTTCCGATATTTCCTTCTGTTTTTATGTTTAATTGTTACATGTTTTCTCAATGCACGGTTTTGAATCGGGTTCACTCTTTGTTGTAGGTGTGCGCGTACTTAGGCGTTTTTAACTTTATTCAAAGTTATGCTCGCCTTTCAGATATATCTGCTTCCTCTATTCTGTTTACGCTTTGTGTTGTTTCGATTTATATCAGAGAACCGAAATAAAATGATTGATTATTGCAAGAGATCGAGCAAGAAGTATAGGCCGCGAGCCGAGGCCCTGAAAAACGCCTAGAAAGTGAGTTTCGTAGCGCACATCAGGTAACTACCTGAAAATGATTTTAAAATGTTCCTTAAAAATTCAGTAACAAATATTGCCTTGTTTTCACTTCCAAAACTTGCACGTTTTACGGAAAAGACGCTTTTACTACAAAAAATATGTTATGATCTGTCCTATATTCTCTACATTTTCGGCAATGAACAATGACTTCTGCATGACGTAACAATTGAATCGAATCAGCTGTTAGCGAGCGGATGAATATTAGTTATTACTGCTCGACCTTGCGTTGAGTTGGGCAGCCTTTCCATAGCCCTGTTTAGTTATTATTAGTTAGGTTATGCTAAGACGTTGTTGAAAAATGTATAAGTAAGTTATTAAACACTTGTAAATCCTCACCGCGGATATGGGCCGTGAGACGAAGCCTTGAAAACGCCCAGAAAATGATTTTCGTAGCGCACATCTGGTAACTAAATAAATTCATTACAGCTTGTTCCACAATCCTGATGCGAAATTGAATATAAGAGGTTCCCGGAAATTCAATAACCATAAGTTCATAACACATACATAAGAATGCAATTCGAGAGCCCTACAGCACACTAACACAAATGTATTCCTGTAATGTTTTGCCTGACCAAAATCGGACTTCCTCAGTCAATCATATATTATTAGGTAGATTACGAAAAATATGGCATACATGTAACCACCAACAAAAAATCAACTGCAATATCTAATTCACTTTCTTCTGAATTGTTTTCGAAATCCACTATCTCGAAAATCGAATTTTCCTCTTATAAGTTTACTGTGATTTTTGCAGTCAATACAAAAACAAAAATCTGTGCAATTTAAGTTGATTTTGGCACACTTGCATAAATTATTTTGACTATTTTTCTTACACTTGCAGTTTGCCAACTCAAGAACTGATTTGAGGGCCACATGCTTCTTCAGTGAATCATTGTTGGGTGGGGGGTATAATCTTTATGTTTGCCAGTGTTAAATAGACGTGCCCTGGTATCATTTACATTCTTCATATCCTTTTCATACAGTGAACAAACAAATTCCTCAGCTTTATTTATTAATCTCTCGTTAACCTCAAAAGATCTTCATAGTTGAGAAAAAAATGATTTGAAAACCTCAATGAAGTCTCCAACATGAGTTTGATGGGCAGTTCCAATTGCATAAAAGTGCTAAAGTATTTCAATATGAATAGCCCATCTAAGCTGTTTGCAACTATTATGATTCTCATATACCTTTACGCTTCAAGACTTCTTGTTTAATCCATTTTATAGCACTGATAGCAGCAGGGATTAGAGCCTGCGTTAGGTCGGATTGGTGGAACATTGCCGTTTTCTTTTGTAGTACAGTATCTAAAATGTGGAAGAAAATAATATTTGAACAGCATGAGTGTAAAAATACCACTAAATACTAACTAATACCTTGAATACATAATGCATTTAATCTGAATTACTCAATGAGCGTATATATGCTCATTGCATGTACTACAGTCCAGCAGTGTTTGCATTCCATTACTAGACTATATCTACACTAAATTTTGATATATCACAGTCTGAAATGCCCTATGACAGTATGAGTATGGACTATATTTTAAAACATCAACTATCTGTCTACAACTTGATTTCTCACCTTTCAATCGTTTCCAATGCTACTTTCTTTCCACTCCGGCATAACTTGTCATTGCTTTCCAGGTTCTTGTCGACTCTATGAATTTAGATTTAGATTAACCGACATTAGTAAAATTGATTGTTTTCTTCTCTTTCACACAATCGTGCATTACAGAAACAGCCTTTAATTTCTATTTCCAAATATGCTGTGGCCTATATAGTAGTATAAGTTTGCTGAATAGTCAAGAAGAGTCATTAAACTAATCATAAACATTACATGCAAGCCAGAAAATATCGTTGTTTTTGACATATTATTCTAGGTATAGCCTTCCTTGGAGTTACCGCACCATACCTATTCAACAACGTCTTATGAGCTAGTGCTCAACTAACATTGCTTTTTATGGTAAGGATATACAAGTGTTTATTATCCCTCTTATACTTTCCAACACCTCCTTAGAATAACTGAACTAATAATAACTGAGAAAAACTATGGAAAGGCTACTCAACGCAAAAGCGAGCAGTAGTAGTACATCTGATATTCATCCGACCACTGGGGATCCACCTCCAGCTGACTAATTTGATTGTTACGTCATGCAGAAGTCTGCGTTCATTGGCCCATGATACCGGAAAAGCAGAGAAAACAGATGGTGACACATATTTATTGTAGTAAAAGCGTCTTTTCTGTAAAACGTGCAACTTTTGGAAATGGGAACAAGGCAATATTTGTTACTAAATTTCTAAGGAACATTTCAAAATCATTTTCAGGTAGTTACCTGATGTGCGCTACGAAACTGAAAGATAAATGGCCTCGGCTCGCGCCTATTGGGAAAAAAAGATTGTGAGCGTTAGGTTTGCCGATTACTCACGGCGATTAGTCAAAACGAGAGAAATGAAACAAGCCGCAAATCAAAGTCGAAAAAAAATGATTTAGGAACATTCATTCCCTAATTGAGGGACGCCAGACTGGACGACAACAACAATCAAACTATAGATTTAAAGTGACCTTTTTATCACTTATATACACTGGTTATCGAAATAGATGCGTTGTCCTTTGTTAGACAAGATAGTCCATTCTGTGGGTGTGATTCTACTGCAACAAGCATGATCTGGTTATTACGAACTTTGTCACATAGAAATAAGACGGAAAGGAAACATGTGTATTTGGCAATTGCGTGTAGAATATCGATCAGGCTTTTTGAAAATTTTCTACACCAATGTATAATACGCACCCCCTCATTTCGGAGATGAAATTCGGAACCGAAAGTGCGTATGGGGAGTATTCACCTCCAAAACTCAAACTATCCAAAGCTCAACATATTGCGGATGAATACTTCGAGGCGTCGAAATAATACAATGGTTGCATTAGCGAAGTCTAGAACAGAGCGACCATGTTTACTCTGAACCGAGTAAATAAAATATGCTTTCATATCTGTTAAACATTTACAAGACCAGATCGTTGTTGTGCTCGATCATTACTGGTGTCATTTTTTAAGTTGGGTTAGTTTGTGACTTTGAGAGTTACATTATGAGACAATCTTATAGCATTAATATGCATCTTGAACTAGCAGAACTTTGAATTAAGCTATTCTGTTACCGCCGGGCAATGTTCCCTCTAATTTTTTGTAGTATGTGTGCGCAGAAATTTTGGCGCACTTTTTTGGAAATGACTAATATTTGTGCAAAATCCAATGAAGAAATTTTGGTGTTTTAACCGGGTAATAAGAGTCGTAGCCGTCCTTTATTAGATTTTGAATGTGCTTCGCGTTCGCTTTTTAGGTCCAAACAAGTTCCGCTTTATTCTACAAAGTTATGTAAGTCGGGCGCAGATATATAGTGAAGTCATATTTTTCATATGACGTTTTTGCGCCTAGTACAGGCAGACACTGCCCAGTAATGGATTATTATAGGGTGTTGCTGATTTAGGATAGGATACGCTTTACATATTTATCCTGAGGGATAGGAAAATCGATAATTAAGCCAAGGCCTCATTATATAGCGAACCAAGGCCCCGAATGGCCGCCATATGATTAAGCTTTCTTATTAACTTTCCTCTCCCCCGGGATGGGTATGTAAACCCTGGTGACCGTACATTTGAACCCACGTACATTTGAACCCATGCGTATATCCGCGGGTTCAATCTATATGCGGTTGCTAAAACCCATGGGTTAGGGTGAGTATGGGTTCAATTATCCGAAAAACAAAAAAAATTTCCATATGTGCAAAAGTATGCAGGTGCAATTGTCATGGGTTCAAATGTCCGTGGGTTCAAATGTAATGAAACCGTAAACCCTACCCTTGTTTGGTTACAAGTCTATGTCGGGTATGGCTCTGCAGATCCTTTCTTTATGTTAGCTTCGTAACTACCTTTCTTCTAAATATAGGCTACTTGCTATTTTGTGGAAACAGATTATGAATTCTTATAAATTTATATTCTTGTTTATTTTTCATACAAGGTTAAGCCGTATTATATATAGGCGTTGATTTAGAATATATAAAGGAATAAAAAAATCGTACGAAATGACTTGACAGCAAAATTTTATTTGCGAAAATATAAGAAATGTGAGAAATAGGAATATATCCGACGCAATGGACGTTTTGACATTTTTGTTTGCAGTTCTTTTTACAGTTCTTATGTTTATGTGAGTTGAATTTTTATTACATTTTTGAAATTCTGCTTAATTGGGATGAGTAAAATAGTCATATTTGATTGGTTAGATCAGGTTGGTCCAAACTCAGGCCCGCGTTCCTCATGTGGCCCGCGTTCCTCATGTGGCCCGCCGCTGCATTATCTGTTGGCCGCGTCGCAACCGGAGGATAATCAAAAAATCGCATTTGGTGTTGTTTCGTCATAAACTTATTTTCTTTTCCTTCAGAAATTCTTTTTAAGATATTGTTACATTACTAATGTCACTGAATTGACTAGTGTTATGGCACTTTTTCCGGTACACCTGTAGTATGCGTAACAAATAGCGGACAACGGAACGTGGTGTGTGTACCGGGTTAGGGTTAGGCCATAATTTTATTCCAATTGTCTTTATTTTAGTTATATTACTAGTTCGGAAACTAGCTATTTGTACGTGAAATTATGGCCTGACCCCAACATGTTACACATACTAGGTTCCGGTGTCCGCCATCTTGATTCACATACTACGGGAGTACCCTCCGTCGAAATCTTACACTAAATGTAGATATATATAAAAAAGACTTATGTAGGTTTTTTTGTTGGTTTCTGAATGTTTTATCTTTACAAAAGACAAATACTGACCAATGTGTTTGCACAATTAAAGTGTTTGTTTCATATTGCACTGTTTACCTATTCTTGGCACTATTTGTGGCCCGCGAACAATGCTAAAATAATTTTGTGGCCCTCGTAGTTGACAACCTTGGACCACCCTGGGTTAGATATTATTGCCATAAGCTGAACCAACGACTAACATACGGCTGAACAGAAGCGTTCTAGTGGCGCTCATACCCTAATTGTCCAATAAGACATATTTAGCCAACGTGACAAAAATCATGCCGTATGTTAAGTAATCTTAAGAAGTTACTCCTTTAATATAGCTCTATCGCTTATCGAAGATAAGTTTTGTTCTGTTGAGTGAAATACCAATAAGACAGTTCAATCATATGGCGAATCGTGCGTTCTCGCCTGGAAAGTATATATCCCATAACCATCCCCGCTTGAGATTTGAACCTGCGAACCCATGACGGGTAGTCAGAGGTGCGATGGCGAGCGTATTCCTAACGATTAGCACGATGCGCCATACCGCCTAGTAACTTGTTCCAGACGCAGGGAAATGGCGGAAGAAGAACCATATCCTATTTTAGCCGCTTTGCACAAGAGTTATGTTTCTTTCTCTACCCCGCTTTAGCATGATTAACCAACTTTATTATTATTATTTTCTGATTCAGACTGGTGCACCGTTTCATAGGATTGAATCTTTCTGGAGTCCCGGTAGCCGCGGTAGGTATTATATATTTTTGTTTTTAAAAGGGGGTTTACTCAAAAAAATACAGAAAGCAGGATTTCTAGGATTTACAAATTGCATAAAATATATATTATATATATATTATTCGTTTTACCGTGGGATGATACGTAAATTTAAAAAATGTAAAATATGGAATAGAAAGGGTTGGAGATGTGGCATAATATTCCCGAGAGAGACAGAGAATTTATTTCGTCAAACCAAGAAAACAATATATGGTTACATATATAAATATCAAATAAACAGATGCTTTAGGTACATGACTGAGAGGCAACGATACTACCTTTAGGGGTCATCAGAGTCAGTTGCCACAGTTGCCTGTAACGACGATGGGAAAGGAATTACCCATGTAACCAGTAGTGGGATTCAGCCGGTTCGCACCGGTTCTATAGAACCGTCTCACGGAATTTTATGAGATCAGCGAACCGTTTAGCATTACTGGTTACTGCCAATGACTTTTTGTAACAGAACCGGCTGAAAAATATGACTTTTGTCATGAAACCGGCTGACAAAAAATTTGAATCCCGCCACTGCATGTAACCCGGCTCAGGACTGTCCCCTATGGGTCTGACTCGTCTGAGGGTCCAAACCCCTCTCGCTCTTGCCGTGGTTCGCCATATGGATAAGCCGCCTTATCGGCTTTCCTCTCCCCCGGGATAAATATGTAAATCCTATCCTATCTTGAATTGTGAAAAAATGTAATCTTCTGTTTCCCATATAAAAAATTTGCGTAGCTTGAAATGCTTTTTAGACCCGCAAGACTCATAAAGAGCCACGTTTTCCGGCAAAACTTGACAATTAAAAATAATTAGAAATTTCACACCCCCTTAGAAAATTCCTGTATATGTCCCTTGTCTGGCTATCGATCCACGTCGTTGCGGGGTGCCAATCGCCAAGCTTTGTTACGTCCTAGTTGTTCGGCTTTTAATTTTGTTGAAAATGCGAACATATGCAGGAATGTGCTAGATTTGAGGAATAACCAAATTATTTGTTGTAGTTTCATCGCGATAGGTAAGATACGCATTTTTCGGCTTCATAATCAGCGTAAAAGACGATAAAATATGATAAATAATTGATAAAATGAAAAAAAAATACTGTTACCCATTAAGACCAGGACTTCATGCATCTGAAATAAATGACTGTAGAACTAATCCCATACTGTACCTGGTAACCCGATGATAGGTGTGGCTCGTCATATGATTGAGCCGTCTTAACCCGAGAGAGAGAGAGAGATTTATTTCCCGGTACAAATATGATTTCCATATTCTATCTATATACTTCACTTACAGAAAGGTTGCGAGACTTCACTTCACGCAAATATTCTACAGATAGTGCTCCAGAAAAACGCCAAGTGTATTAATTTGTAGTGATTGAGATAAGTTATACCACGAAGAAGCGTAGCAACTAAGTACTGAAGTAGCGATTGGTCTTGAGTGGATGGTAATTTTTTATTTCATATTTGAAGAATCTACCAGAATTTGGAGAAGCAAAAAGTATAGAACACAAAACTTCGTCCAGCGGACAAGCCGAAGGTAAGGATGTTAGGATAGGATAGGATTTACATATTTATCCCGGGGAAAGGAAAGCCGATAAGACGGCTTATCCATATGGCGAACAACGGCCTCTCGTCCGGTTACCATTCCAAGTCGGGTATGGGATTAGTTATTTGTTTGTTTTCGTAAGCATGGACTTGGTGTTGGAGGAAGCCGTAACCGACCAGCGGTTACGTGAACCACCCAACGACGGCGAGGAGTCCAGCAATCCTCTTGCACATAACCATCCCTGCATGTGATTCGAACCTGCGAACCCATGCAGAGTAATGCCAATGTCCCAAAAATTTTAGACTGGCTGTGTTCCATATACGGCCAGTTAGGTAATTGAATCTGGCCCGCTTGATGCCGCCACAACCAAACTTGAAAAGCTGTTTTGAGTCAGGGTTAGGCCATAATTTTAGGTACAAATACTACAGGAGTCACTTGGCTGATCCCTGAACTCGTGATAGAACTAAAATAAGGAAAATTGGAATGAAATTATGGCCTTACCCTAACGTGGTATACATACTACATTTCGGTGTCCGCCATCTTGGTTCACATACTACGGAGTGCTCCTCAGTCTTATGTTTTCTGCAATTCACGTATTATCCCAGAATTGTTATGTTGCCTGATACTAAGCAAACTGAATTTCATTCATCTTTTTCTAGATTTTTTTAATATCTTTCTTCTTCCTTTGGTATAAAAGTGCCAAATGATAAAATGGATACAATAACAGACAAATATCCATAGGGAACCTATTTTTGGAATTTTGAAATCTTTTTTTCGTTGCATAGGATAAGAAAAATTGTTATGTGTTGTAATAAACCATATTTTTTCCTCACTATCAATAGATAATGTTATATATGATTGGATTAACAATGACTCAAATGATAGGTTTATTTTTTTTTATATTTTCTGTTTTAGATAAAGATGGACAGCAACCAAGAGAAAGGTTCCCTACAAAACAAACAGCAGAAACAAAAATTTATACTGGGCGTTCACTACCATTCAGCACTGTAAGACATGTTTCTACTGTGAGAACTACCAATTTTATTTTTGATCAATATACAGCATGTGCAAAATCCCAATATGAAAAAAAGAATATGGAACACTGACTCTTGTCGCCTTACCTCACTGATTGAACATTCAAATTCTTTCACACACATACACCACAGTGTATTTCTATACAGTTAAGCTGAAGCTCCAGAAGTATGTGTACCAGTATGGAGATAACTAATTTTGTTCGGCTACTTTGGACAGGGGGTATATAATTACTTGGCTAACCCTGACAGTCCCCGAACTCATAATAGAACTAAAATAAGGAAAATCGGAATGAAATTATGGCCTAACTCTAACCTTGTACATACACTACGGCAGAACCGGTAAACTTATTGTTAATGGCTGGTAAACTATATGCATTACTAGCCCAATTGAACACACATTTCTGGTAGCGTGCAAGCCCAATCAATTTCCGCCTATAATATGCGATCGCCACATTAGATATTATGACACACCAAAAACACCTGCATTATTTACAACAAACGGCAGGCATGTTTGGCCCACAAATTTCACTCAAGTGATTTGTCAGCACACTTATGCTAATTTCTACACATACAAGAGCCATTGTTACAACCTTGAATATGTGCACAGATAATTAATTTATGAGCAATTTTTGTTTACAGGCAATAAAAGTGGGGTTGTTTGAGAGCCACGAAAAATTTGGTATTTGTAAGGGTTCCACCGATCATAAAAGTTTGAAAAGCACCGATCTAAACATAAAAAATAATTGACCGGAGACAAAAAACAGGACTAATACAGCCTGAGCACTGAAATATATTATTCTTCGAATCAAACATCTAATGTGGGTAAACTTAAGATCTAGTTTTTTTGCTGTATGTAACTAGAGTATTTCTAAATAGGTTGAAATCAATGGCAGCCCCATCAGGCCTTGTTTTAACCTGGCGCTGCTAATATGGACTTTGGCAGGACATGTTTTGACATATGTTTAAGCCCAACCTTTTTTAATAAACCTCTCTCATTGCCTACTTCGAAACTCCTATTCCTTCCTCCATAAACATGCCATTTTTATATTTGTTGCTGTGCGGTCCTCCTGAAGTATGTTCACCAAGATGGCGCACAACCTGAACATAGTATGTGTACCTGGTTAGGGTTCAGGTTGTGTGTCATCTTTGTGCACATACTTCGGGAGCTCCTGCTGTGCAGCTTGAATAGTTTGATAATGTGTGCATGAGTATGTTGTACAGAAGTAATAAGTAACTAAACAAATTTATTTAAACTACACTAAAGAGAAAGTCATATTTTCTCCTAAAAAAATCTTTCTTTGGAAAGCATTCCTCTTGTGTTGGGAAACAGTGGCTCGAATCAAACCTTACAAATATTCAATTTTAAAAATCATATCTGTACTTTTACAGGCATGTGAGGTCTCAAGTCTTGGCGCATGCACAGACACAGAGTTATCTGTACCAATACATGAAGGAGAGATAAGAAATGGAGAGCACGAACAGAATTTGGTGAGAGTTGTCCAATTGCCAAAATATAATTTAATACATACATGCATTTATCTACAAAATAGAAGTAAAGCTATCCTATTCAGAAAATGATAACATAGATCAGGGTGGTCCAGGATTTAACAGCTCCGCGGGCCACAAAATTACTTTTGCATTGTTCGCGGGCCACAATGGTGCCAAGAACTTCGCTCATTTAACTTAGCTTTTTGCCTCAGTAAGCCATAACACAAGTCTATTCAGTGACATTAGTGATGCAACAATACGTCGAAAGATTTTTTGGTTAATTTTATGACGAAACAACACGGAATGCGATTTTTTGATTCCTCTCCGAATGCGACTTGGGTCACGGGTAATGAAGCGGCGGGCCACATGAGGCCCGCGGGCCTGGGTTTGGACCACCCTGACATAGATAAAAACAATGCAATAACCTAGCTGTTATAAAAGTATTAGACAGACTGTATTGGCAAAGTGGATAACACATCTTGGATCCAAATTATTTACCTAAACATAGCTATTTAGCTAAACATAACAATTTGGTTATGGTTTGGTTGTGCCAGCATCAGGCGGGCCTGATTAAATTACAAAGCGGGCCACAACTAAATTTAGTTTGCCCATGCCAGGTGTAGAATGAGAATCTCCCGAATTACTGTGAACTCCTCACACATACTAAGATACAAGTGGCTGCTAGTAACATGCGATAGGTGTGAATAAGAGTCTTGGAAAAACAGTTAGGATATTGGTGGCCAAAAAACTGTGCAATGGGTGCTAAATTGGAAGCATTTCTAGCTTGTAACTATTCTATCAATAGTTTTGTCCACTTTGATTTGACTTACAGTATTGCAGCATTATAAGCTCCATCAAAATTGTCTTTTCAATATTTTATTATTTAAGGTCCCTTTTTTGTATATATAATGCTTATTCATGCTTTTTACTATAAACAATGCTACATACAAGCAGCCACTGATATCTAATAATATGTAAGAAGAACCGAAATCCTTCAGGTACGGTATGGCCTATTCAATTTATAACACCCTAGGTCAGATGGTGGGCATGGGATTTAAATCTAAGATGAGTATTCTGCAGTGGCCACATAGTCGATGGTTAGTCATTATATCAGATTTTAACTAGGAATAATTAGCCGTAAAAAAAAATGAACATACTTTTCATAGAAGATTTCAAATTTTTTTCGGACCTCCAGAAGTATGTACATCAAGATGGCGCACAACCTGAACATAGTATGTGTACCAGGTTAGGGTTCAGGTTGTGCCCCATCTTGATGTACATACTTCTGTAGGTCCAAAAAAAATTTGAAATCTTCTATGGCAGGGGTGGGCAAATTACGGCCCGCGGGTCAGATCCGGCCCAGTTTAGTGTTTTATCCGGCCCACTGGTACGTGCTGAAATTAGGCTATAGTTTTCATGCATAAAAATTATCGTTGAAGAAATCGGAGAAACAACAAATCGTCCGCAAATGTAAATATTGTAATTCCACACGTACTATCAGCCCTGAATATAAACATAAAACTATCTGAATAATTTCTGTACAATAATTCAAAAACGCCAGCTCCTGACAAATCAGCATTTTTGTCTGCATTTTGCTACGCGTGTGTTCGTGGATGTCGTGGGGAGGGGGGATATCGTTACTTCAGCATGTCATGGGTATTTAAAACGTGAACATCAGTAATATATCGGTAAACTATATTACAGGGATTTATCCCTGTATTATGAGGACGTCGAGAAAAGGATTTCCTTGGAACTGTGCGTGAGGTGTGCAAAACTCCTTATTGTGTGGTCATCTGAAACGAGAGACTAAATACAAACTAAAAATTGGATCCGCAAATCGAATTAGCGACTGAAAATGAGGAAGTGATTATTGTAAGAAAAGAGCGGAGTCGTAAGATATATATATATATATCACAAAATATAATGCAGAACATCATAAATTTCGTTTTCAAAGCTCTATTTTTGACCTGGTAAATCCCAAAAATTTCGTTATTTTTCATCGGATTGGAAACTATAGCAAATCCCAGCGGTTCCCAAATATGTGTTTGTGCTGTGCCATATCACCGCATTATATCAAAGTTGCAATGCTTTTACTTTATCGTATTGAATTGTACTCGTGGGATTTTATGACCGACCTTGGAATTTTGCAAATGGTGATTTCTTAAAAATAATCTTGGCTCAAATTAATCAAATGACCAAGATCGCTCCTTTTTTTAATATATAATTAAATTAATTAAATTATATATTAAATTGATATGGCAAGACATTTTTAATTCTCGTAATAGTCTTGAACTCAATATTTTGCGCAAAAAAAAAACAACGGTGAAAAAGTCGGCAATTTCAACAAATGGGTAATCACGACGACTGTTGCCATTGGAATTTGCGTTTCCTATTTTGGATACAAAATAAAATCAATCGGATAACACTTGCCTCCTAAATCCTAAGTTACAGTAATTTTGTTCGTAAACGACAGGAATGCGCATCATTTATTCTCTTTGATTTGAATAATCTATTTATCAAATACGGCCATCATGACCGCAATTGTTACATTGTGCTATCTTTATTATTAACGTTATCCTAGCCCATTAGCCCAGCTGTTAAGCTTTTTTTTCTATCAACTTTCTTCGCGCTGCTACCGTAATTTGCCAGCTCCTGTAATAATGGCCCATTGATCATTGTGTCTAGGACTCTAGGTATTTGCAAACCGTTTCTGATCATATATACTGAATTTTGATCATCCGGCCCAGTAACCAAGTCTGTTATCCGCATCCGGCCCACTCAGAAAAGTAATTTCCCACCCCTGTTCTATGGATATGGATCTTCTAAGATGGCGCACAACCTGAACATAGTATGTGTACCAGGTTAGGGTTCAGGTTGTGCGCCATCTTTGTGCACATACTTCGGGAGCGCCTATTTTTCTAATTACTGGTAACCAAATTTTCTAATACTTCTTTTTTGCATTAATTACAATACAAATTTGGTTTGCATTGAATTCTTTAAACATACATGATTCTGGAATGTCAATTTTGCAGATGGGGGCAAGGAATGATCGGTCAGCATCACAAGTAAAAGTATTTACAGATTTTTCGAGTGATCATGATAAAACTTCAGTAAAAGAAATAAGTGGGAAAAATCAAGGGGTATGAGAAAAATAGCCTATGTGATAATCAATTTATTATTATTTATTTTTGCTGAATCCTTTAGAAATTGGGCAGTCAGTCTTTCAATTTTGTTTGACATACTGATGGCGCATTAGGAAATAGCAGTATAACTACCCTTGTGTGACGGTATTCCCCCTTTATTATAAAAAATTGGACAGGATGGTTGACAAAGCCATAACCAGTCAAAGGCTATGTGCTGAGTTTTTATATTTGTTTTGACGGTAACAATTATGACACAAGGTTCTGATTGTGTCTGAAAATGAAATAAGCGCTAGAAGACTGTTGGTATTATTTTTTCGAATTTTGCTGAGAACTATGGGACAATGTCACCTAAAACTGTGCCGCTTCATTTTAATTCATGGAAACACTTTTATAAAATAAGGCAACTCTTCAGTTTACCAATGACAGCGTATATAAAATGTGATTCACGGCGTCCCTTCTGGTTGCCAGTTCAAGTTGAGCATGAAAATAAAATCACAATTTGTTAGCCTAAGTTTGTAGATTGCTTATCTATTGAAAACAGCTAGCAGGGACATATCATCCACTTGCCAGCTTATCTGACATTCTGTTGCATTGCTTAAAAATATTTCAGCCTGAAAAATAAAACCAGAATATCGGTCAGAGACAGATCGAAAGTTAGGGGTTCCCCCAAAACAGTGCCCTTACTCCATAGTGACACCTTGTGTCCCATCACTAATTAATTGATAACTGGCTAATTATACGACATAATTCATCCATATTCAAAAGGCTTCTGGTCCGACATATGATGTATGCACATGCAAAATCTGGAGCAGATTCAATTTCTCTTTCTTGAGATATCGCGTGCATCTAACAGACAGACAGACAGACAAACAGACAAATACTTACCGATTAATATCGATAAGTGATAAGTCATCCTGCCCCAAACTCTGAGGCTGTAAACCATTTTCTGGACTCCCTAAAATATTCCCTCCATACCAAGTATAGTTTTTTTCTAAGATTTTTCATCACATTCACTAACTTACAAGCAGGAAAATTCAATGTGCAAACTCTTTCTTTTTTAACCAGCCATTCTAGACATATCCAAGGGGGACACGGTGCTGTATAAAGCATCCTTATTGCGATTTGCTAGGTTTTCGAATACCGATAAGACAAACGACAATAGGCCATATATGTGTGAAAGAACAACAACAAGAATCTAAATACTGAATAATCAAAGAACTGTGCCGTCAAGTGCTTATTTGCACTTGAACGCTGTTTATTGTGATATTGAATGCTATTGTCAGTCATTCTCATTCTGTCCTGAAATTACTATATGACTATCTTTTATTTTTTCATTATCTCCTCCATTACCAAATTTGGTTGCACCTACTCCAAACTCTTAATCCCAAAAAATTTCTACAAGACCGAAAATAAAGCGACCGAGAAGAATTAACCTTAAGCATGTGAAGAAAAGTTTGATAAACCCTGCCGTAATCAGTGAACTTCCAAGTTTATTTTTAAATATCTTATACATGATCAAAAATATACTTTTGTAAATTAGACCCTTTGGGTTAACATTTTGTATGTTCTATTCAGACTGAAGGTTATCCCATAAGAGAGTCAGTTGTGCCTTTTCCTGCAAGACTGTTAGCATCTTTACAGCAATCAGACCCAAAGATACAGAGAGATCCTTCACATGGTATGCTGATTCAAAACTCATTATATTGTGACTATAATAATTGTGTGGCATTGCGGTGGAAACTCAAACATATCTTTTACTTTTGAGTAAATATATTGGCACTTCGCAAGCATGTGTACCAAGATGATGCACAACCTGAACCCTAACTTGATACACATACTATGTTCAGGTTGTGCGCCATCTTGGTACACATACCTCGGGAACACAAATATATTAATATCCAGCTTGATGGCCCAAACCATAAACAAGCGCACATGCGTGCACTAATAAAAAAACTGCTTCATTTTTTCTTCATTTTGTGGTATTTACAATTAGTATTCATTATTATGATAATTGTCATCTTAGTTTATGTTGGAAATAATGATTTTTTTTCTTGCTGTTAAGGTCCTGTTGCAGACCATCCAGCTCCAGATGGAGAAAAAACGCTAGATGAAGAAAAACATGTAGGTTTTGTTTGCTAATATCTCCCTAATATCTCCTGCTTTTTTATTTATTTTGACATGCTGGTGTGGCATACATTTTAATTCCCATACGCATATCTCTCTTGTGAATATTCCATTGTCTATTATTTTCTTCACTTGTCATGTCCCACTTTTCACTTGTAATTTGCATACTGCATAACGGTACTCCATTTTTGTGCCGGTGAAGTCGTCTACTTTAGTGAAAACTTATTTCTAGGTACCGGTAACTTCTCCGTTGCTTGGCACGCTGCGTACTTGTTTTTTATTGTTTTGTATTCAGTGATGCGTATATAAACCACCAGATGTCGCTAAAAAGCTATATATTCTGGATGAATCATAATGGTTGTTCCTGTTGTCTAATTTATTTCAAATTTATTGTTGTGTTGTTTTCCCATGATTGTGTAATTTATAGTTATTTTTATCAGATTGCTTCATTGCTATATTTGCTGCTATATATTACTGTATTTGGTATCGCTGACTGGATGACTCACTGAGTCTTTCGCGATCCCACGTTAATTGCTATGAATCGGTTTATCCCGTTTTTAGTTTGCTATGTTTTTCTTTTGATTTATTGATTCTTGCATGACGAAAATAAATATCTGCATCTGAATCTGGCTCATCATGCTAAGCGTTAGGAATACTCCCCTCTGCATCTCTGATTACTCTGCGTGGGTTCGCAGGTTCAGATCATATGCGGGGGGTAGTCATGTGCAAGAGGATTGCTGGATTACTCGACACCTTAGGGTGGTTCATGTATCCGCTTTCCTCACCTCCGGGATAAATATGTTTGCTATTATCATCTACAATTATTAATATTCATCTTGGTAAGAGTAAAGTTATAAACAGCCTAAATACACGTTCATTACCAGTACTTCTAGGCTAGCGAAGCATATGAATGTTTTTCCTTCACACCACTTAACTAGACTATCCAAAAATTACGCAGACGATAACAAACTCACTAAGGCCAATGATCTCTCTCATATCGGGATCGTCGCGGCATGAAATCGATAGAAATAGCTTGCTCAATTTCGGGTGATCGTCTGTACATTTTGGACGACCGTCTGTATATTTTGGAGGGGCTTATTACATAACTGTAATGTAATTTGTGGATGACGTGGTCAGGTGGGGTTTAGGTAACATGCAAAAATTGTTGAGCCAGGTTAGCTAGAAGTACATATGGTACTAAACTATGCCTGACTCAGATGCTCATACTACCACCTCAAAAGTAGCACTCTGGTCTTACTTCAGATGCTTCAAATTTACATTTTGTGTACTTGATTTAGATTGATGTTCACCCTACAAGACATGGAACACCCCCATCTTCTGTTGATGGAAATCAAGGTCCACCCTCACTAGCAGACTCTGGAATATCAAGTAATCGTAAGTACCAACTACCAAGTAGTTATTTTTTGAAAATACAATGTAATGTGTTTGGGAAAGGGTTATCAACTTGAGGTTTGTCATTTTTAATGGTTCTGTATCTAAAGTTAGCGTTTTTATTTGAACTCCTAGGGGTCTGGTGTCAGAGTCTGAATTTGGTTATGGTTGATATAACAAAAACTATAGAATGCTTGCAAACATAAAAAAAAAAAAAATCTTAGAGTCGAGAACTGTGGTTTAAGTTTAAAACTACCGATGCTCCATGTGTATAAATGGCTACTTGTCTATAGCCTTGTCTAGAAAGTCATTTAGTATTTGCAAATGTGAAACATAATTTAACAATCTAAATAATCAAAAGTATGATAAACCCATGTCTGCTTTGCACAGCATCGCATGGATGGAGATGAATAATTGGGACTCTCTGTGTTAGCCAAGTGAATATACCCCCTGCCCATGGGTTTCAGTCTTTTTATACAACTTGATGCAAATTAGGCGAACAAAATTAGTTACTTCCATATTGGTACACGCACGCACTTCTGGAGTGAATTCCTCTGTCTTTCATGCTGCTCGAAAATATGATAAAAATGCAATTGAATAGAAGGAAAATTTCAAGAACCTTGTCCATGTTTTCAGTTGGGTCATTATACTCTGTTGTATATAATTTTTTGTGCAAAAAGGTATTTCCAAAGTTGTGAAATTTGAACTGAGACAAAACTCATGGTGGTATGTACTGGTTTCATTGTATTTCAACGATAACTTGCGATTTTATTCTGAGTTGAGTTTTCCTTACCTGCCAGTGATTCGATGTCTACAATTTTAGGTGTTTTTTAGGTGTAGGTTTTTATTCAAATTTATCACACATTTGGAATGATTGTTCATCTTTTTAGTTTCAGTTCGCAGTTCTGTCATCAGTGGAGAAGCAATGGAGGGAAGAGGAAAGCTGGTAATTATTCTTGACATCAGTGTTAACTCTAAGCGAATTATGAGTGCGAAAGTGCTTCGCAGTCGAAAAAAAAAGTGCGAAAGTGCTTTTGCCGATTTTAACAAGTTAGGTGCTCTAGCCTTTCATATAACCCATTTAACACGCATAGATACTCGAAAAAGCGCTCCTGCGGTTAATATTATGAATTAAAGAGAAGCCTTTCCGTTAACCGAGTTCCATTTAAGCGAATTCATGTTTAATTAAAACAAGCGAATTCATCGGCAACGAAAAGACATCTGCTAACACTTGCCGCGAACAAAACTTTCATGCAATGTATCACGGTGTCAGTTGCTTACTCGCGTGAACATCAAAGGCTTTCACATTTGTTACTCCTTCCATCTAACATACAACGATTGATACACGTAGGCTGGAAACCATATTAGTTACAGGGTGGATCATTTGTACAAATCCCGTGCAAAATAATCCCCCCCCCCCCCCCCCCAAAATATAAATAGCAATCAACTAATTAGGGTTAGGTGCGCTGGAAATTCAACTTTTCGATTTATCCCTAAACCTAATCTGATAATTATTAATTTGTGATTTTGAACCACTTTGAAAGTCGCCACCCGCTGTTTTAAAAGATAGGTTAACCTACGTTCCCTTCGAAATATTACACAGGCTACTCCCGTTTTAGGAGATAGGTTGACCTACTTTCCTTTTAAACTTTTTTCTCCGAAATATTACACAAGACTACTTTGAAAATCTTCTCCTTTCGTGAGCTAGCGTGACCTAATTTCTCATTTACATTTATATTATACTATTTCAGAGCTTACCCAAAGACCAGTAATTTTTAAATGTCGACATGCCTTGGTTTGCGTGCGAGTTAGTTTAAATCAGGCAGAAAACATCATATATTGGCGAAATGTTTAGTAATGTCATGTACTTTCAGCATTCATAAATAGCACTCTTTGTAATGCTGCTGACCTAGTATCAAATATTCGCATCACATCGCCACTTGCGAGGTTTCCATATATTTCAATTACACTAATTTGAAGGATGACACCAAAGAGTTTTCTTTTGCGAAGGTACACGAAATATAACGAGGGTGATTCTTGAAAAAAACATGAATATAATAAATAAACGAATGATATGATAGTGGATCCCAAATAATTTTGAGAGTGTCTTGAAATACCAATCCATTTGATAAATAATTTTTATTCGACCACATGAACGCTGATATACGCATTCTCAGATATCGGACATCCAGTCGCGATATTCAATCGTTCATATGCACAAATCTCACATTAATAGTAATTGCGACCCACGTTTGTAAAGTTTAGAAACCAACAAACAGAAAATAACTTATCCTAAAACACAATTAAAACTCAGTCGGCAATAAATTCGTCGCCAAGACGATGCCATACAAAACAAAAAAGATTTGGTCGCGAGAGTTACGTTAGATGACTGCAAAACGACGTTGTTTTTTAAGCAGAATGTAAAACAATCAAATTAAAAAACGGGAGTTACGACGCCCTTAACACATCGTGTGTATTAAACTTCCCTGGTAAGTACTATTATTATTGTACTTATACACCTGTTGGAGTATTTCGGACAATTTCGAATTTAAAATTAATGAAAACCCGACATATAATAAAGACGCAAAAGTAAAATGAACATTTATTGAAAAAGTTATTATTTAAGAAAGACAACATGATCGTACAATCCCGCCCAAACCTCGATGTTCGCAAGTGAGATGATAAATAAATACTTCCCTGTATTCGAGCAATTAACTTTAGCGTATCGTTGTTCTGCCAACAAACAGCCGGGTGCAAAATATTTCCGTCCTGTGATATGCTCACAAATATTCTCGATATTAATATCATACCCTCGCGTATGTACTTTCTATTAGCTCTTTAGTGATCCCTTCCATCCTTGGCCAAGTCAGTTTCGAATATGTGAACATTTTATTCGACCATACATGGCCGGCGGGATGTTAAAATTGTAAACAAGAGAGAGTCGCAACAATCGCGAATTTCGTTTTGTTGCGCCGGTTATCGTCGAAAATGATTACATTTGTTGTATTTTGAGGCATTTGAGCAGTAATAATTAGGGCATGACATCAAAATCGTCAAGTGAGATTTTGAAATTGCGAATTCCGTAAATAAAATTGTGAATTACTCCGTAACGAATTCAGCTTCAATGACCGTCGGGGTATTGTTTTGTTGAAAATTATAATTAATGTGAGAGCGCCAAAAACATACAGTCCATACCGATGCGACTGCAATTCATATGGCCGCACTTGGTGTGGCGCGTTTATTAATAGTGTAAAATAAATTAAACGAATATCAATTATAACCAAGCCTGTCAGCGTGTTTATTTTCTGTGGGCAAGAATCGTAAAAAACCATCTTGAGACAAATTCACTTCTATTATAAAATCTAATTTTTCAGTTATTATCGTTATACAAATAACGTGTGGCAACTTTTTAATTTATCGTCGATCAAAAAAAAAACGCCCCACACTCGTCCAAACGTGTGTCAAGCTTGACCGACAGGAACAGATTCATCGATGACTTTAATTAGGGAAAATATGTATTTTGTTGGGAATGCAAAATAAATGTAACAAAACGCATTTTTTTGTGATAAAACCTTGTATTTTCGGAAACGGATTGCCAGTGAAGGGTAAAATTTGATCTAAATTAATCGCAAAAATGTTTTATTTTAAATGTAACAAAACACATTTTGCGATATAACCTTGTATTTTCGAAAACGGGTGTCCTGAAAAATAAATATGATCTAAATTATTCGAAAAATGTTTTATTTTAAATGTAACAAAACACATTTTTCGCAATACAACTGTATTTCGGATACCGGGTGTCATGAAGAGTAAAATATGATCTGAATTAACCGTAATAATGTTTCATTGCAAATGTATCAAACGCATTTTTTTGCGATATAATTTTGTATTTTCGAAACGGGGCGTCATGAGATATATTAATCTAATGTTTTATCTATCGTCTAACTAACGTCTGGTACACATCATTTTCGGGGAGAACTCTAGCCCGCGAAACGTCATTTAATTTTAAATAGAGAATGTTCCACGCATTCCAAACGGAAAATCACCAGTAAGTCGACAGGGATTTCAACCTCCGGATTCAGTATTCTATATCCCCGTGTCAGAAATTTCTGAAGATTGGAACAAAGAACGGTCAAACCCGCGCGAAGAAGGGGAGTATTTTTTGCACTAATAGTTAGGGCGTGACATTATTAATATCGTCAGAAACTGGTGAATTTTCAAATTCCATAAATAAAATTGTTGAATTGCTCGGTAACAATTTAGCTATAATTATCGCCGGGGTATTGTTTTGTTGAAAACATGTTGAAACTTGAGGGAATTAGTTACAATTAGCGCCTGACCTCTTCGAAAAAAAAAGCACTCGAGTCCAATCTTTTCAGCATTAAGTCGCATACGTAAAATATCCTGTAAAGAAGTGCTGTTCATTAACGTTATCTCGTCCTATGACCACGCAGAAATGCCTTTATTGCCGAATTATTCAATCACTATTTTAAATCAACATTCAGGATTGGCACAATTTCAGATTTGCCAAGTTTATCACGAAAGAAAAACATGAGAAAGTTAATTATCGTCTTAATAAATATCAGCATCATGGTATCGACAATAATATTACGCATTCGCATAAAATTGGGGACTGTAAATTTACAAATTTGATAGGTAATATTAAAGCCAACGCAAATGTTAATTTGAGTCCCCAATGTCTTCAACAGCTGTTGCCGATGTGAACAAACGGGTAAACCCGAAATATAAAACTTCGATTGCCGCAGACCCGCAAGAATTCAATTTGTAAAAAAGAGGAGGGCGGGAATATAATTAACAAAACCTGGATATCGCCGCCAAAACGATCCGTGACAAGAACAATTAGCGATTACAACGGATTTAACCAGTAAAAAGGCTTGTTGCCGATTTTTTAATGTTTCAACCGACCTTCCGTACTCGCATATCAATGAGAAATAGTGTGTAAATATCGCAAAATGCCACGGCTTTCAACATTGTGATTACAATAAAATGCACTTAATGGTATTTTGTGAATTGGTGATTTGCAAATCTGTGACATGCTGCTAAAAGTTTCGTCTGATTTGAAAATCGTGCACTTTGGTCACAATACATCCAAAGTGACTATAACACTTAACTAACACTTTTATAGTCATTTTTGAATCAACGATATCATTGATAGTCACATGACCACTTTCGTTCAAAAGAAAGCACTGGTAGTATTCCAAACATTGCGTTTCAAAAGACGCGGAGCGTTTTGCGGAGAAGCGGAATCGGTGTGCTTGATAATAATCATATTATAAACAAGAATTTTGCCGTATAATGCAAAAGCTTTATCTACTATGTCTGCATCTCATAGGTTAGAATTCCGGTAAATATCGTATGATATGCAGAATTGAGTTACAAAAGTACTAGTATGTTACTTATTTGTCAACTAAAACTCGAATATTGTTAACTTTGAATTTTATTGCATTCAAAATCGGAAAAAAGTGCTATTTCTCTTCAAAAATCGGAAAAAATGCTATTTCGCAGTCCTAAAAAAAGTTGCGAAAGTGCTTCGCAATTTTCGCAAAAAAGTGCGCTAATAGTGAACACTGCTGTGCACATATTCAAGGTTGTAACAATGGCTCTTGTATGTGTAGAAATTAGCATAAGTGTGCTGACAAATCACTTGAGTGAAATTTGTGGGCCAAACATGCCTGCCGTTTGTTGTAAATAATTGCAGGTGTTTTGGTGTGTCATAATATCTAATGTGGCGATCGCATATTATAGGCTGAAATTGATTGGGCTGCACGGCTACCAGAAATGTGTGTTCAATTGGGCTAGTAATGCATATAGTTTACCAGCCATTAACAATAAGTTTACCGGTTCTGCCGTAGTGTATGTACAAGGTTAGGGTTAGGCCATAATTTCATTCCGATTTTCCTTATTTTAGTTCTATTATGAGTTCGG